AGGTGGGAGGTAGGTGAGCGGTAGGGGAACGATAGGTGAACGGTATGTGAATGGTAGGTGAGATGTGGTAGGTGAGCGGTACCACATTACAAAAGTGCCCTTTTACTTTAGTTCATTAATTGAGGGTCAAAATAACAATTCTCCACCTTGACCCTCAATTGAGAAACTTTGAAGTAAAGATTCCCTTCACCTGGCCCCTGAGGGACCCTCAGCCCTTGCTTGAGTCTGCTAAGTCCAAACAGTACATGGACTTAGCAATCACGGTTCTTCCGATAAGAGAGTACAACCCCTTTTTTCTGGCTCCTTCTATGACGACACGAGGGTCTTTGGTTACTCTGATGCAGTCATTCTCTGCCTTGAACGAGCATCCGCTTGACTCCATCGTACCTAAAGAAATCAGATTTCTTTTGAGCTCTGGTACGTACCTGACATTTTTCAGTACTCGTTCAACTCTATCAAATATCTTTATCCTGATTGTTCCACTTCCAACAACCCTGTGAGCTTTATTGTCTCCCAGTAGAACAAACCCATCATTTTCCTGTTGCAGTGTCTCGAACCAGTCTTTGTGAAGACACATGTGGAAAGAACACCCTGAGTCGAGGATCCACTCTTTACTGGATTCAAATTCTGTGATCACCAGGTCCTCAGCAGAATCGTAGTCATCGGAGGCTACGCTTGCTTCTCCTGATTCTTCTGGCTCTTCTTGGTACTTATTCTTCCTGTCTGGGCAATTTCTCTTGAAATGACCGTTCTTGTGACAATGATAGCACTTGAAAGATTCCTTTGATGACTGATTCCCGCCATCCTTGCTTGACCTTGATCTGTACTGACCATTTCTTGAATCTTTCTTGTCCGATCTTCCTCTGATAATAAGACTGTCTCCGCTGACTTCTTTGTCCCTGTCATGCTTCCTCTGAAGTTCTTTTGCTCTAATTAAAGATTAAACCTCCTCTAGAGTAATAGTGCACCCTTCCATAGAGCATCACATCCTTGAAATGCTCATAGCTCTTAGGAATAGACTTTAGCAACAGCAGTGCCTTGTCCTCATAGTCCATCTTGACGTCGATGTTCTCGAGGTCATCGATGATCTTGTTGAACTCATTGATCTGCTCTGAGACGGATTTGTCTTCATGCATTTTGAAGGAGTATAGGCGCTGCTTCAGAAAGAGTCTATTAGCCAGAGACTTTGTCAGGTAGAGTACCTCGAGTTTGGCCCAAAGTGCTTGAGCCGTTGTCTCCCTCGACACCTCCCTCAGAACTTTATCGCCCAGGCTCAGGATTATCAAACTGTGAGCCTTGTCCAGCATGCCGATCCTTCTCGGTCATGTCCTCGTTCATGTCAGCCGGCAATGCCGCCGACCATTGCAAGGCTTCTGCAACACCCTGTTGAACCAATAGAGCTTTAATTTTTACTCTCCATAGACCAAAATCATTATTACCACATATATATTAACAAAATAAAATACATATTAATTGAACTATGTTCTGTTCTGGTTCACAAGCAATTAAAAGGTGAAGTTCGCTTTGTTGAGCACCTAATGAATTCCGAGAGCTGTCGCAGCGTGTGCTAGCTGTCGCGGAAATCCTCCTCCTTCTCGAGATCTGCCCCTTCGCGGATCGAACTACCCACCTTCCTCTGCTCCTTCGCGGACAGTTCCTCCTCCGTCTCGCCGAACCACACAACCTGCGGTGTTAATCTAGTCAATTAAAGCTTCCACTGCTCACCGAATCTGTCGCGATTCAGCTGCCTGCGACGCGATCCGCTTGCTCCTCTGTTCGTGAATGCCGAACTCCTCTTCTTCGTCGCTGGCCGCGAACACCTTTACGCTGACACCTCTAGCTAAGAAGTATGGATCTTCCCACAGACGACGCCAATTGTTGTGAGATATATACTTTCTAGCATAGAGATGAGACGAAAAAGGACACAAGCAAACATAACTTGTTTACGTCGTTCGATCCAACTGGATCTACGTCCACGGAAGGGAATCAATTAAATAGTTCACTAAGGCAAAAGAAATGGAGAATACATAGCTTATACATAGAGATGAGCCCTCATCTTCCTTCTATGGCCTCCCTCTCAAGCGACACCTTGATACAAGGCCTCAAGATGCTCTCCTCCTCTCTAGCTCTCTAGCTATTCTCTCCTCCTTCGTGGTAGCTTAAGATCTCTTCCCTTTCTCTCCTAAGCCTCATACCCTTAAGATCTCGTCCCTTTCTCTCCTAAGCCTCACACCCTTAAGATCTATTCCCTTGCTCTCCTAGGCCTCACACCCTCTCTATTTATAGAAGCAAGAGAGTGGTAGGTGGGAGATAGGTGAGTGGTAGGTGAACGGTAGGTGAGATGTGGTAGGTGAGCGGTGTCACATTACAAAAGTGCCCTTTTACCTTAGTTCATTAATTGGGGGTCAAAATAATAAATACAAATCAAAGGAAGTCAATGCTAACATTAGTTATGGCTTATTAATAGACTCCATTATTGAACTTTCAAAGTAAAAACAGTGCCGTTAATGATTGATAACTTATTCTATGAAGAAATGAAGAAATCTACTTTAACATTTAACTGAAAATCAATGCCTGCCACAATATACCTTCTTCTTTCATGTTCTACAGAATCAACTTATCAAAGAATAACATTCTCTCGCAGTACCTAATGTGCAATGTGCCAAAATCAGACAAAAGATAGCCATCCTCCACCTCTGATTCCCTTCTTTCGCTGGAGCTTGTCTCCTCTTCTTCCAGGTTGGACTCCTCCGGTACGAGGACCATAAAACTGTTATTCCTCATCTCCTTCATCCTTTTCACCTCATTAGAAACAATATCATCATCTTCATCATCATAATCCTCTTTTTCCACACCTCCATCTCTAGCACCCACCTTCTGGCCAGACTCCATACTTTCAATCTCGAACTCATCTACGCCCAGATCAATGCCTTATACTTTCAACTTCTGGTTCAGCCTGAATCGCTTCACTTTGAAGAAATTCATCTATATAACCCCAAGCTTAGTTAAATCTTGCAGATTCTAAACACCAAAGCCCATTAAATATCAGTCATGATACTTTTAATCAAACCCAATAAAAACTACAAGACAATCTTCTTCCTTTTATTTGCTATGGAACTTCAGGGGAAAAAAGGAAAAAATGTCAAAAAAAAAACGGCAATCAAAAAGGATGATGAGTGAAAAACTTAGCAAAGCAACTATAAAGCCGATTAACCAAAGAAAAGAACATCAAACCAAAGAAAACCCTAAATGCAGCACCTCCCGAAGTCATAAACAACATCCAACATAAATGCTCACACATTGAACCGCAAAAAATAGAAAGCAAACTGAAGAAAAATCCATCATCCATCTTGCGTGAACCTTAGAAACCTCAAAAATACCTACTTCCTTATGATAAATGAACAAGCACTTGTTTACACTGATGCCTTCAACTACCAAAGCAAGCTCAGAGAGTCGAAGCACAGAAAATGCGCCCCGGTTTTCTCGGCTAGGGTTAAGTGTACAACTAAGACCACAAGCGTGCGGAGAGAGATATAGAGAGAGGAAGATCAGATCCAGTCGCATTTCCCTCTCCTCAACTCGCTTGTCGGCATTAGATGCGAGGTAAGTTTCGTGAGCGAGAGAGGTAGAGGCGCAAAAGAAGTGAAATAAGCTCCAGACGAACGCGAATCACGGGTATAATCACGGGCAATACAAAATACTACATTTTGATATAATCTATGAAGTCCGAAAAAGAACGGGTAGGCCGCGGAACACACTTATAATCTGCCCTGAACGCCTCCCGCGATCCGTTCGGTGCTGTAGCCTTTCCTCCGCCGACGGAAGCCGCTCCTCCTCCGCACTCCCCATTCGGCCGAGAGCTTGCTCAACCTTGGTAAGAAATCCCTATCCTCGCTCCTCACATTCATCTCTCTTCTTCCCTCCTTTATTCTTTTTCTGAGATTCTCCTCCCCCGAGTTTTAGGTCTGCCCTAGCTCGCGACTCCGTAGCCGCTCCCTGCTTCCGTTCGGCATCCCGCTCTTCTTCGGCATTCTCGGCAGGTATAACCTATTTCGTGCCCTCTTCTTCGCAACTCCACTAGCTTTTTGACAGCCACTTTTTCCTCTTCTTTGCACCTCGACAGAAATTTCTACAGCATTTCTTCCTCTTCTTCTTCTTCTGC